AAAAAAGAAATCCCATTTCTTCATCATCGCTGTCGGACCTCCTTTTCATTAAAGCCATGGCCGCTGAACCATTTTGATGCTAGAACCCATTGTTGTCGGGTGTTTTCATGCCACCTCCTTCTCCAGTCTATTCAACATGTCTCGTGGCCTCTCAATCAGGAAACAAATTGAAACCCAAATCATCTCTTAAACCTAAGTATCTACAAAGTCCATGGCTTGGCATCAGTCTTTGTCTTCGATCGTCAAATCCCAACCCGACTTCCAAAATTGCCGCACGATCCCTTCCACCGTAGTGTGTAACCTCCCAAGTCTGACAATCATGTTGTTTCCGTGGATGCTCAAGGCCTAAGATGCCAACTTTGTCAAGGTCGATCAAGCCCAAATCGAGTTTGATCTCATCCAGGTAAGTTTTGCTCTTTTTTTCCCCCTTAATCTATTTCGATTTATTGCATTTTATTGATTTCTTACCCAGCTTCTATTGTAAGGTTGGTTTTGATGTTCTCTGGATTGACGTTATGTTCTGTTGTTTTAACTTCAGTATAATGTTGATTTGTTCAGCTCATCAGCTCATCTTTTCTTTTGGTACATCTAAACAATGCCCGTGTATCTTCCTTGGTTATCTTACTTTTTTCCTGTTTGGGGAATGCATTTCACTATTTATTGTTTGCCATATTTCCAAAATTTTTTGTCTGCTGCATATCAATAAAACTATTGGTTTGCCTATTCTGTTATCAAAAGCCTCACTTAAGAGGTCTTATATTTACAATGCATTGGAAATTGAAATTCACCTATTGATTTCAAATTCTGCCAATTTTATTTTCCCAGTTCTTCTTCATAATCTATCTAATAAATATTGGTCATTTGAAGAATCTCTTCTATATGCATATATAATGTTATACCAATCTCTCTTTTTAGTAACACAGAAGGCATACAGATCCTAATGGCTAATATGTTTGATTTTATTAAAAATCTTAATCCTTCTAAAGAGCAATGGAGGATAAAGGTTAGAATAGTTAGGCTTTGGAAGCAAAAGAATTTTCGTTAACCAAAACTGGGTGATAATATTGAAATGCTTCTTTTGGACGAACAGGTAAGTATCGAAATGTCTTTTGTAAATTTTTTTTTTTGCTTTCTTACCAACTTTGCGATTCTTTATGCATTCATAATTACAAAGATTTTTGGATTATTGAAATTTAATCTCAAAATTGCAGGTGATGGTGGGGAAATTACAACAATCGATCTCCTTTTTGGCATTTGGTCTGAGGAAAGGATAAATATCCCATATGCTTGGAATCTTATCTATTTTTATTATTCTTTTATTTTTTTTATTTACAAAACATTCCAGTCTTATTAACTCTGTATATTTATAGATGAAGATGATGAATGTGTCAAAGGAATCAACGTTGTATTGAGTAATGATATGTCTGAAGGTACCATTCTTTGTTTTAGAATTCCTATCTCTAATCTCACATATTAGACTTTCTTTGTGTTTATGGTTTTATCTTTAGATTATAATTTAAGAAATTATTCTGTAGGTTACTTCAGTTCAATCAAAGACTCAATCTTTACATTTGACAATTTGAGCTTCTTATTCTACTGATGACAAGAATATGGTGTATAACCAGCTTGGTTTGTCTTCTTTGCCTTTTTTTTTTTTCTCTCCATTTTCATGTACTTGGGTTTATCATGCTTTCTTGGTATTATAGTTCAAAATGGGTGTCTGAGTTTTGAATTGATCTGGGATTTCAAATGCTAATGAGCATCAACTATTTGACTTAATGTCACAAAAAATTATCTTTACTGAAGAAATGAGAGTGCAAACTAGAGAGATGTCTAAATGTTGGCATTTAGTTTTGTAGCACCTTGGATGTTACGTTTTAGAGAAACTGAAATTTGCTGCATTACAATTCTCTAATTCTCAAGGAACATTTGGTGTTTTTAATGTAATGTATTTCCCAGTTTCCATTGTTGAGACTTCAAACTTGCTTAGAGGATCAGAGTTCTCAAATCAAAGCTGAGGAGTTAGTGATTTATTTTAAGATATTGTGTTTTCAAAATGATTGTTCTTGAGAATAAGTTATGAGTTTTAACAAATTCTTTTGCAACTATTGTTTATCTTTTCAAATCTCTTACATCTTTATCGTCCTTTTTCACTTGAAATTGGATATATTAATTCAAATGGTTTAGGTTTGTTTTCATTGAAAAGATTGAAGATGTAATTCTCTGTGCAGAGATATTAGCACCAACTGCCCTGGAATTTGAAGAAGCTAGATGAATCAAATAAGATGAAATGATCTGTGTCTATAATCTATGGGATGATCCTGCTAAATCCAATGAAATTCATGTCAAGTTAGCTAGTAGTGCCAAAGTGGTTGATGCTCTTAAGGACCTAAAATACAAAGTAATTATTTATTTTTATGTTTATTTTTTTGAGATTAGTTTCAGTTGAGCTTTATTATAACATATGCTGACTTTATTTCATAGAAACGAGCACAGAGTCTTGACTTGTATTGGGTTTGTAGGCTAGAGTAGCATGACAGAAGTTTGACCTATAGCTTTCAGGGCATGGCATCAT